TTAAGCTACAGTGAGTTCAGACTCCTTAATATAACTGTGCACTCTTTAAATGATTCTGAATCACCGTTATTTTTTTTTCCTAATTCGAAAATAAGTGGTTCAGAAGTTTTAGCTACTAAAGTAGGGAACTTACACAAATATGATATCACTGGGAATTTTGAACAACCCTATGGCATATATATATATATATATATATATATATATATATATATATATATATATATATATATATGATATATGATATCCAGAGATCTTGCTGGCTTCCTTAGTGGTTCTGTCAAGTTTTCTTTATCTTTCACCCAATAATTCCCACACCATCAGCAAATACAAAATTTAATAGTAACACGTTTTCAATCATAGATGGTATGAAAGGGACATAATCTATTTACTTACACGAATACGTCATAATTTCCTTAAAGGGAACATTCTTTGATTTATTATTTTATGCATACAAGACATCTTTCACGCCAACCGCCGGGTACCCATTCTCACTTCGATGAAGTGAGGATAAGTCATACAACATACCTCTATCAAGAAGACAATTTCGGCCCCGTGGCAGGGTTCAAACCCATGACCCTTCAGACACAAGGCACAAACAGCACTTCTGTCTTACAGAATTACAGTCTTGAATTCTGTACTCCAAATTATACTTCTGCGATATAGAGAGATCTAGACCTAGCGTCTTGCTCTAAAAACCTAAGCACCAAATACGCGCCAAAATTTTGAAAACGTCAATACAACGAAGTAAACATTTTGGGGGTCTAAACGAACACAACGTGTTGGGGACATGACTATACCAAATTTAATGTATCTAGAAAAAGTAAATACAATGAAGTTTGGCCTGAAGTATCCATTGACACCGTGAAGCACACAACCAAACAGAGTTGGATATCGAGATTCTAGTTCTGGAAGTAGTAGAAGCAGCTGTCTCACACAAACGAAGAAGCACGACCCGAAACGGAAGTAGTCCTAAGTAAAATATGAAATGGCTAAGGACATAGTGAAAACATCCGAGAGCTTCGATTTACAGGAAAAACCATCAAACCTGAAAATTCAATAGGTTGATTACTTTTCGAACTTTGAAAATATGCCCACGTAAATCTTTGTGACTATTCTTGAATCATATTTTTGTAGATTTTATAGGCACCAGTGTAAAAAAATGTATAGTGACCCCACAAAAACGAGCTTAGCTCCATTATAATAAGAAGAGCATCATGGGGATGCCAGTTAAGCTTGTCATCAATTGTTATTCCAAGATATGTGTAAGAGTTTACAAGCTCCACCTACTCATCTTTAATTAATAGTGGTTGCTATTGGTCTTCTTTTTTTATTCTAAAGGGTATGTGACCAAATGTCTTGGTATTACTGTTCTAGTCCTGAAACCAGGACGGGCCGATCACGCCCCCTGATCCTGAATGCTTTTAAGAGGTCAAGGTTACGTTTCACCCAGTTTTGGTTGCCATTTTCAAAACTTGATGTTTCTAAACATACTCTTTAATATTCTTATATTATTGAATATCTGCCCCTCTGTTGAATTATTTGATTTTTTATTTGTTCAAAGTTTTGTTGAAATCAGTGCTGAGTTGACAGAATTATCACCCCTTTAAGCATGTCCTTTTCTTTTTATTTTTAAAAAAAATTAATCTTTTTACACCTTGTACATTAATATGTGATTGTACCTACCGGTTCTGAGGTGTAGTTGACCAAAGTGGACTCGAGCCCCGCCCCTAAGAGACCCATACACAACATCCGGGGTACGTTCAGGGCCAAGGGCTGCTCAAAGTGGATGAAGAAGTTCTCCGTCATGCCGAAGGAGTGAGCGTAGCCGATGTTCAGTTTCCAGCGGCTGGGCAGAGAAGCCACGATCTCAGCGTTGGCGAACTGATCTGAGGAAAAAAGAATTTTGTTTGTTTAAAAAAAAAAAGATTTGCGGCGTTTGCAATACAATTAGGTCATATATGTGCTGAAGATTAGATGCGCTACTATAAAGGAAAAAATGAATTTTGTTTGTTCTAAAATAAGTTTCCCGGTTATTGCAACACAATTAGGTCATATACGTGCTGAAGCTTAGATGTGTTATTACAGAAGAAAAAAAAATGTTTCTTTTAATACAAGTTTTACGGCATTTGCAACACACTTAGGTCATATACGTGATGAAGATTAGAGTTGTTGCTACAGAAGAAACAAACACAAAATAGAAGCAGGAGAGATAAGGATGATAGGTGTTTTGTCAGGAAAGAAGGAGTAACCCACACCAGAGCATTCACCAACAACCCACAGAAAATGAATGGGTTTGGTAGTTTTTAGCTGAAGCAGATGTTTACTGTACTTACGTGATTCTGTCATGCTAAAATGTGGAGTTTAAATCTGGAGAGAGTTTGGGGACGGGTGAGTGGGGAACTGAATCATTTTTCTCATCTTTAAAAAAAAAAAATAGCACTCTTTTCCCGTTGTCCCGACGGGATTTTGTGCGTGTGTGTGTGTGTGTGTGTGTGTGTGT